CAGTAGCTGTTCCTTGAACAAGCTCCACATTTCAATTGTGCCCAGCCCCTGCAGTTTCCTTCTCCATCCTATGCATCCTAAATCTTGCCTAATCGCCTCATAATTGCCTTTCCCCCAGCTATAACTCTTGCCCTGCGGTATATACCTATCCCTTTCCATCACTAAAGTAAACTATCACCAAAGTGCTCACCTACCTCCAAATTTAACACCTGGCCTGGTTCATTACCCAGTACCAAATCCAATGTGGCCTCGCCTCTTGTTGGCCTATCTACATACTGTGTCAGGAAACCCTCCTGCACACATTGGACAAAAGCTGACCCATCTATAAAGTACTCGAACTATAGCATTTCCAGTCAATATTTGGAAAGTTAAAGTCCCCATAACAACTACCCTGTTACTTTCGCTCCTATCCAGAATCATCTTTGCAATCTTTTCCTCTACATCTCTGGAACTTTTCGGAGGCCTATAGAAAACACTCAACAGGGTGACCTCTCCTTTCCTGTTTCTAACCTCAGCCCATACTACCTCATCAAACGTCCTTTCTGCCACCGTAATACTTTCCTTGACTAACGACGCCACACCTCCTCCTCTTTTACCAACTTCCCTGATCTTACTGAAACATCTAAACCCTGGAACCTGCAACAACCATTCCTGTCCCTGCTCTATCCATGTCTCCGAAATGGCCACATCGAAGTACCAGGTACCAACCCATGCTGCAAGTTCACCCACCTTATTCCGAATGCTCCTGGCATTGAAGTAGACACACTTCAAACCACCTTCCTGCCTGCCGGTACACTCCTGCGACCTTGGGACAATTTATCACGGCCAACCCACCCTAACCTGCACATCCCTGGGCACTAGGGGACAATTTAGCACGGCCAATCCACCCTAACCTGCACATCTTTGGACCATGGGAGGAAACCGGAGCACCCGGAGGAAGCCCATATAGACACAGAGGGGAGAATGACTGTGGGGTGTTGGCACAGTTGCCCCCGGGCTGGAATCGAACCCCTGGCACTGTGAGGCAGCTGTGCCAACCCAGTGCTTCCTCTCCGTCTCCCCCTCAGCATTCACGCAGCTTTGCGACCGCGCCGTTCCGGGAGGGCGTGCTGGGTCCGGTTGGGAAAAGCGAAAGGGCGGGGAGGGAAAACGGGAAAAGGGTCCCTTACCTGTCCTTGCACCCGTCAGTACAGTCGCAACCCACCAGGAAGTCGGCGTGGGTGTTGATGTAGACCCCTTCGCCGGGGATGCGCTCCTTGCTGTACGCCACGTGCGGCGGCGGCGTGGAGTCAATCTCGTTGACGCAGGAGAGCGGCACGTCCTCCTTGCCGTGGGTGATGTCCCGGATGTAGTAGAAGGGCTTCTGGGGCTGGAACTTGCGGTCGACCAGCACGTAGGGGTCGAAGCAGAACATCTCCAGGTAGAGGAAGTCAGCGCAGGTGGCCGACAGATACTGCTCCACCTCCGCCATGTTGCGCAGCGACAGCCCGCATGGCCCCTTGTACACCACGTGGAAGGACATCTTGCGGTTGATCTTGCGCCGTGCGGTCATGCGGCGGAAGTCGTACAGCAGGGGCACCAGCATGGGGTTGCGGCCGCGGTACTGCCCGCGGCTCGCGGCCTGGGGCCGCGCCAGGCAGCTGGGCTGGCACACATGCGCCACGTAGAACAGCTTCTCGCTCGGCGCCTTGTATGGCGCCTCCACCGGCATCGGCTCGTCCAGGAGCTCGTACGGCAGCTGGGGGGGGCCGGCGCCGGATTCCAGGGCACCGGAGGGCACCGCCCCCACCCTGGAAGGAAGCACAGGAAAACCAAAGTCGGTCTCTCCGCGGCTCGCAGACCGCCCTCCCCGATCGGCGAAGGTCGGCGGGGGGAGGGTGGGGAAGAGAAGGAGGCAGCACCTCCCGCAACTGGAAATCGTGGCGGCAGCATGGTCCCTGGGGAGGGGGTGGGGACGTGGTATGGGGAAGGTGGGGGGCTCGCACATGGAACCAGAAATCAAACACAAACACAGAGAGGGGTCACTTTTAGTCAACGCTTTGAAAGGAGATGGATGGAGGGCACGAGACGGGCAGGGTGATAACGGGGAGGGGGAGCACGGGACAGGCGGGCTGATAGCGGGAGGGGAGGGGGAGCACGGGACGGGCGGGCTGATAGCGGGGTGGGGGAGGGGGCGCACAGGGCAGGAGAAGCGAGGGTGTGGGTGCAGGTGTTCGGGGAAGCGGGAAGGGGTGCAGTGTTTTGGTCTCCTGGCATCAGAAGGCAGAGCAGTGGGAATCAGGGCTAATGCAGTAGGCTACTAATCGAGAAGTGCAGTAATAGGGAGGCGGTGTAGGGGGCGACGGAGATAGGGAGGGGGGTGTAGAGGGCTGGAGGATGAGGTGGTGCTGACGGAGTGCACCACGATGAAACATTCCCATATGAATGAACATGGAATTAGAATTGGACCCAGTTTTTGAGTGTGACCCCCATTCCTCCGGCTTGTGTCCCAGCTCCTCCGTCTGTAAGGTGCTCGGAATGGGAAAGGCACACACACTGTTGCAGCTTTAGCTGCGAGCCTCGCCGGGTGGACTCAGCATCTTACACACCGCTCTGTGAAGCCACCCAGAGCGTACCATCCTCACGCACCTGTACTGCTGGCTCCCTGGTGCCGGCTTGCCAGCTGAAGGGGCGTCACCCGCGGCCGGGGTCTCTGGGGCAGGGGCGGCGGAGTCTGTTGCTCGGCCGGGAAGGGCTGACGGCCGAAACGCGGTGCTTTTCTTTGCCACCTGCTTCCTCGAAAGCGCCAAGCTTCCTGGACTTCAGCGGGGAGGGAGGTAGAGGGCGTGAAAGAGAGAGAGAGAGAGAGAGAGAGAGAGAGAGAGAGAGAGAGAGTGAGAGAGAGTGAGAGAGAGTGAGAGAGAGTGAGAGAG